GCTTGGACTAACCTTGTTGCGCTTGTTGGTCTCGTGCCAGCCGCTGAAAATCCTCAAGGTTTAGGGTTTAGGCTTTCGCGATTTGTCCGCCTCTGGGTCGGCGGACTGAGCCGGAGGCTCTTAAGTTCCTGTACCCCTTGATCATGGTATCGTGGTACAACAATAGTAATAAGCAAAAGTTACTGCTGCTTCACTGCAACAGCCATGGCCGCAGAAATCTCCAAATAGGATGCTGCAACGGTTAACATGTCCCGTTTTTTTTTGCAGTGTCGGTGTGCGCATGCCTAAGTACAATGGTGTAAAACCAATCCTTCAAAACACAGGACGTACCGTAGACGAGGGTTCAGGGTTTAGGGACACTATGAGCCATATCCCCGCAAGGGTCCAGTAAGTCCATATAATGGCAACTTTTACGTTTTCGGTGCAAAGGAAAAGAAAGCACCGCACTAGAAAGGACAACGGTGCAAGTTCGTCATGGTAAGATCAATTTATTCCCCTATTGCCCCCCCTCTGCTACCACCTAGGTTCCCCCTTAATTAAATTGTTCAGGGCTAGATTCAAGTAATTTAAAGGGTAACCCGTTGGGGGTAGTATAGAGCGGGCTCGTAGGGAACCCGTAAAAGGGCTGGTCCCCCAAAATCTTCTTGCTGGCTCTGGGGTTGGCGTAAATGGGCTTCGAACTGCGCTTTTTCAACTTATAAATTCTAGTTGCATTCCTCTCAGTGATAGTCACCTTAATGCATGACCACCCCTTCAAGTGGGGCCTGGCTGCGCTTCAGGGGTCCCCAGAACAGGCCTTAGGCTTCTAAACCTGTCTCCTCTGAAGCACCAAACCCCACAGGGTTTAGTGTTTTCGACTCTAATGTTATGTGAGCAAAGTGGAAGGAACTTAAACCCAAAATCAACGATTTTTTTTTTGGAGTCCCTATATATAGCAACTGCGTTGGAAGTGCACCCGGCCGCCTTTGAATTCGGCGCAAGTGACTGCTCTCAATTCCAAGACATCCATGATTAGGTCCCTCTAGTTAACCCCAAATAGTATAGAATGAAGACCCCAAAACTATCATGTGACTATAACAGGGCCTAATCTTGGAGGTTGCGGTAACTAAAATTCCTTGCTATATCCAACTAGGGTTTAGGATTGCTGAGCTAAGGTTTAGGGGTTTAGGCTTAGGATTTACTACTGTGGATGGCGGAAATCTTGCACCAATTACTGTCCCCCAAGTACTGTAATCATCATACAGGGTTCAGAGTTGTTTATGCGAGGGTTCCAGAAAGTTACAAACCTTCCTAGGCTCTACACCCTTGGTCCTTTTCTGGGTCGGCCTCGAGAACTCATTGAGACACTTCAGGATCTAGGATCCAATATGAGTAGAAATTTGGGGTTTCTCAGCATTTTTCTAGGAAAAAGGATTATGTTGATTTGGGGTCTATTTTGGGGTCCCCCCAATTATGGGAGCTACCCTATTTCAATCTTCCCCTTTCAAGGTTACCTATCCCCTCCAAGACAGACCAATCGAGACGGAAGCACCGCCAGCACCTTATGCCAAACCGGAGCTTCAGAGGTCTCCTCCAGCCCATGGAAGAAAATTCGCTGC